TCTCCAGGCTGTCATTTCAGGACCCTGTTGAACACTTCCCCACCTCCCCTTGGATGAGGAAAAAGATTTTCCCAAAGGACAATTTGAGAGTAAACTAAGTAGCACAACTTGAGAGAGTTTGAAAGCCAACATTTGTCTACTGTAACTGATTTTTAGAAACCTAAAAACTGTTGTCATCTGGAATATTCCAGTCACACTTTTCTCCTCTGGCTTCATTGGCTCACACTGAGCCTGCAGCTTTAAGTGAATACTTACTCCCTTTTTAGACATATACAGCACTCTTTGGAATACTGTCTATTAAAGGGGCCTCTTTTCTTTAGGTCCTCTTTATCTTCCAACTAATTTCATCTTCAATTCTGGGGCTATCACAGTCTGTCTGTCTTCAAGGCTCTCCTTAAAGCTCCAATTCTTCTGGATAATCCATCCTGACTCAGGATGAAATACAAGTGTGAGTACAGAGTGAGACATTCTCAGATGTTCGGAACCTGAAATGACATTCTTATTGGTGCTGTCAAAATTGTTTGAATCTTTAGTCTTTGAGAAATTGCCTTAATAAAATATCAACAAATACTTCTCTAGAATGACTGGTTTGGGACATAGTTTAAAGTGCTGCCAATAAGAAGAAATAATATCTCACTTTAATAAGGAACAATAAATTTTTGAAGTTGACCTCAAAACAAGGTAAAGCTATTTTTAAGGGTCTCATTATAATGTTTTTTTTTTTAAATAACGAATGGGTAGCATTTTTTTTTTTCTTAAATGCTTCAACTGAAGTGCTAGTTGGGTGGTTTTCAGTATGCATAATAAATTAGACTTGCAAGGTACTAGTCATAAAATGTGGTCCTGGGGTCAGTTTTCCTTGTCAATCACACTATACATAGTCTATACATAACACTAAGCATGATCTAAGGCTGGGATCCTTTATTATGTAAAATTCAGTAAGAATTATATATTTTACAATCGTATTTATGCCAGTCAAATTATATTTCTATCTTTAACAATGTACCTCTAACAACAGCAGCAACAAAAAATGAAACAAAAATAAGAATTTTAGACCCAGACAAATAACATTTGGCATACTACTTCTTACTTTATGTAGTTATTGTGACTCTGACAACTGACAAACCATGTCAGCACAAATACTTTTATGCCACTGGAAGGCATGAGAAAGATCAGAATAGTAATAAACTAGTCTTTAAAATCAAAAGCTACTTGTTGGGTTTTAGGAAATGGAGTATAGGGTTGTTTAATTAAAGGTAGTTTTAAGTTCACGGAACCATTTTACCCCATATAAATATATTTCATGTACATTATCTGCTTAATCCACTAGTTGACCATAAAAGAAAAAGAAAATTTTCCCCCAGAGACCAGAAACAACAGCAACATTGATGAAAAAGTCTTATTTTAAGAGACAATGCAGAAAGTCTCTGATCCTGTCACTTGACGCTAAGCAATAAAATCGAAAGCCAGTTTTAAAGATAAACCAGATTCCCAGCCTATAAGTAGTGGCTGCCTTTTGTCTTCTGTGTATACATCATCAACACCGCTAGGAAAGAATTGAAGCCCCACTGGGTACATCACCAAGCAATTGATTATCAGCCATTAAAAGAGAGATGTTTGCTTCTTCATGGCAAGTAGCTTTCAGAATGAAAAGTAAAGAGATCTGATTGTTCCACACTGTCTCTCCTTTCTGTCTTACAACTGGCCAAGATCATCCTCTGACACTTCTTGGAGGTGCCAAAGACCCATTTTTATTTTCCTTTTGCTATTTTAACCAGGCTACTGACTATAAGACGGGGGAGCAGTTGCTATGAGGGAAAATGCCCTGGTAGTGGAGGGTCCTTCATCTATCAAGAGGATTTCGCAGTATTGCCTGTCTTCAGCACTGTATAGAGTTGCAGGAATCTGAGAAACAGCAAAAAAAAAAAAAAAAAAAAAAAGGAAGGAAGGATTTCAAAACACAGTGTGAGATACAATTTCCCCCAAAAGATCAGGATACTTTAGTTTTACTTTGGAACTTCTTAGCCTCAACTTCTTAAGCATCCTGGGTGATGAGCACCTCTGGGTAAGACTCGAAAGAATGATTGGTGTGGATGTCTTAAACACACTCACCATATCAGACCGCCCCCCCCAAAAAAAAGAATTAAGAACTCACTCTGATTGGAATGTACGGTATGTTTCCCAACTGCAGAAAAACAAATCCCCACAGTTAAGTAACAACATTAACAAACTATGCTGCATTGCAGACCAAAACACCAGCCAACCTTTGAAAATCTGGAAAGAATGCCCCAGAAGAGAGATGTTAACTTATAATTCCAAGAATGTTTTGTGTACAGGGTTAGGGAGGGATGCATACACATATATCTCCAGTCTGCAAAAGGTCATGGCTGTCTCCACCTGTTTCTTACTGGCCCAGTATCCAAACAGTTTTCTACTCTCAAGTCTTTGGGTCTTTGAGGTGATGAGGCAATGAAGAGAAGAGTCCCTTCCTCTAAGGATTGCCTCTCCTCCATTTTTTTTTTTTCAGAAGGCATAGTTGGCATGGAACAACCTCCTTGGCTGGGGAGAAGGCAAGTGTTCAAGGACATGCTTAAGCAGGGTGATGACTGGGCTTTGTATAACCAAGAGGCATGGGGTTCCCAGGACAAACACATGCACACAAGACCCTGCTCCCAGGCCAAAGAATATGAAGTGAGAAGGGATATTAGGAGCTCGCCCCAAATCCAAGTTCTCTCTCAGAACACAATTGCTACGTAGGGGATGTATCTCTGCTTGGGAGCCAAACACTAAGAGTAAAAGCAAATATTTGACGCTGAAGAGCTCTTGGAGCTGAAGAGTGTCATCTACTTATTTCTACACATCAGTGTGGTCTTAGGATGTTAAATAGATTAAAAGGCTAAGAGAGGTCAGTCATTCCAAGGAAGACTCTTGTGCTTTTCCTAAACAAGTTTGGTTCTTCCTAAAATTGTTAAATGCCCTGTCTCAGTCCTGGGGAGGGTCCTTCACCAACTCAAAGGATGACACGTCCACTGTCCGCTCCTAGAATGTCCTGTAGAAGGTGGAATCAGAGTTCACTGTCAACATGTCACTGCATAGATGTGCCTGTACTGTGAAATTCCAGGGGACTGAGATCCTAAAACTGAGGGTCTCCAGAATTACCAAATCTATTCGTCATGGGATGGGGAGGATGAGAAGGTGAAAGGGGAGAAGCAGAGATTGGGAGACTCTCAAGAGTGAGTACAGGTAGCCAGAGGCAGTGCCGGGATGCACACCGGTTTCCAGTCCTGAGCTGCTTCCCCTGGCACAGCCTCCACGTTCAGGGGATCTTGGCATCTGTACTAAGGATTCTCTAGCACTCGACCGCCTTCTGCCAGCCTCTGGCTCCTGCCTGGGTCTTGACTGCAGAGGGGTCAGCACAGTCATTTCAATTTAATCTTATTTAAAAAGACATAACTAATAAATCTATTGCCAGGGCCGCAGAAAGACCAGGCCAGCAGAGTCGATCCATCTCCCCATCCCATTGAATCCCACTGAAAACCATGACAACACCGGACAAGCTCCGATTTATCCCCGCGAGCTAAAGCGCATTGTGAGCAGACGTCAATCACGCATTATTCTGGACTGAACAAATGCAAAATCTTTGCTGGAACAAATGCTTCCAACAGGTCCGGGCGTCCCAGCTCCATTTTCCCCTTTGTTTGCGGCCTAGCAGTTGGCCTGTAGTGGGCTAGCCTCCGCCCGACCACCCAGCGCGCGGTGCAGCAGGCACGCTGCTGGGGAGGGCCGACAGGCTGGGTGGAGCCCAGGGCGCCATGTCCCGTCAGGTTCGAATTCAGCCCCAGCAGAGCCAGGTTTAATGCATCTCTCATCCCTAATTTTTTTTTTTTTTCTTCTTAGAAACTAGATACCCAAACCACTAGCTGGAGGGAAAGAGGCCTCTGATACCGCAATGGAGCTGAACTAGACTGAAGCCTGAGCAAGGTTGGGGGCCAACAGAATGTGCCCGCTCTTGGCAGCTCCACCCGCCTTTCAAGTGGATCATTTTCTCTGTAGGGACTAACGGATCTGGGAGGAAATATCCTCCCAGGCACATTTTGTTTTGGGCAGGCCTGGGGCTAATTCTGCCGATTTGCCCATTCTGATGCCAAGCCGCGAGTGTAGCCCCTTCCTATGAGGCTTGTTCAGAAACTGGAACTGACTTGAGGGCTGAGGGACAGAGATGACGTCAGAGTGGCGATGCCACTACCACCCGTGCGTGGGTCCTCGAATGGACCCAGGTCCAACTTGGCGGAGCTTGGCCACAGAACCGCAGGCTCGTAACCCATAGAGGCCAGGCCGGGATGGGTATTTAGGAACCACAGCCTGGATTTTTACTGTCTCCATTTTCGGCCTGGGGAGACAGGTATGGGTCTCGGGCACTTCCCCAGGCTCCCAGACCTTTCGGACTTGGGGGGGCGGGTGCGGTGGAGTGTGTGAGGAGGCTCCTAGTGATTTGCAACACCTGTGCCCCAGACAGCTAGAATGATCAAGCCACAGGCCACCCTCAGCTACCAAAGGGGATGGGGGAGCGAGTGCGCCAGAAGAGTTGTAGATGACTTTCCAAACAATTGTGAGAAACTATCATTCCAGCAAACAAGGTCCGGAATAAAACACATAAGGACGACATAAGTCGTCCCCCATTTCCAGCGCTACCACCCCGCCCAGGCCCCACTTCAGCCGGGGAGGAGGAGGAAGTTGGGGCTCGGCCGTGAGGACCATGGTCACTGTCCGCCACCCAAGATGTTATTCACTGGTAACAATCCCCATTATCTGTCCCCACTTTGGTCTAATCAGACGATCGCAAATGCCAAGGGCTGCTTCCTGCGGCCTCTGGGAGGTAACCAGTGCAAAGGGGCCGTGGCCCGTCGGGGCGGGGCGGGGGCCGGGCGGGGCGGGGCGGGGGCGGAGATGGCACCTTCCGGACTGGTCCGGGCTTCGCCTCAGCACTCGTTCAGGTACTTAACACCCTGGACACCCGGACCTCAGCTTTCAAAGGCCACCGAGTGGTGAGGGCCGTTTATATAAACAGGGATTCCTCCGTAGAGGCGCTGACATCCCCGAAGCCAGCTCATGGCGAGCACCTCCTACTTCCACCCTTAGGAGCGGCGTCCCCAGCTTCCCCTGGGTTCCTAGCCTGCCCTGCCCCCCGCTTTCTTCCCCTCCTCGGCCATGGCCAGCTCTGGACGCCTCGGGTTCACCGTGCGCAGCCTCCTGAATTTACCCGAGCAGGACGCGCAGCCCCGGGTGAGGAGCGAACCGCAGACGTGCATTTCTCAAGCCGCCGCCTGGCTGGAGTCGGAGCGCAGCCACTACCCGTGTGAGTGAGCCCGGACTGCGGCGGGGTACTGAGGGGGAACCCAGTCAAGCCTCTGCGAGCCAGTTCTGGGATCGGGAGTGGAGATGCCAGCCCAGAGTCAGGTTTCTTCAGCCTTAGAGCAAGCCGTAGGCTCTGTGGTCCTCAAACCGATAGGTGGTGCATCCTGCATCCCGAGGGTAGATCCCCCTGCACCTCGGCTGCTGTGGGAGACTGGGGTTTTGGTGTCTGGAGATTCCTAAGAGTCAGGATATTTAAATATTTAAGACACCTTCCTTCTGTGTCCCAGGGTTTTTTGCAAACCTTGGCAAAACAGAGGTGGCCCTATTGGTGACCCAGCTTATGGGAGATTGTTCTGCCAACTCAGCCACTGTCGTGGCTCGTTTAGGAGGACCCCAAGGTGGGTTCCTCTGGGGCATCATCTCAGGCTTGGTAATTACTATTTGTAGTATGGATGAGGTCGTAGGAGTAGGAGACGTGGGTACCCAGATGTGAACTCAGCAAAAGAAATGGCTCTCAAATCCCAGTGCGAGGGAACGGGGGCTCCAGCTGGAGGGAGGGAGGCGCGGGTGGGAGGCAGGTCCCAGCCACTCGCCTCTCACCAGGCGGTGTCTGCTTTGTGGTTCCCAGCTTCTGATGAGGGCGGCCTCGAGACAAGCCCCGTCGACCGGTCGCAGCTGGCTTCCCTCGGGCCAGCATCTCCAGGCTCCGACACGGAGAAGAGGAGGAAGCGGCGGGTGCTGTTCTCCAAGGCCCAGACCTTGGAATTGGAGCGGCGCTTCCGGCAGCAGCGCTACCTGTCGGCGCCCGAGCGGGAACAGCTGGCTCGGCTCCTGCGCCTCACGCCCACGCAGGTCAAGATCTGGTTCCAGAACCATCGCTACAAGCTGAAGCGTGGGCGAGCGCCGGGGGCCACGGAGCCGTCGGACCTGGCAGCACCAGCTGATCCACCTGCGGCTCCTAGCCTGCTGCACCACGTGGTGGTGCCCGTGCTAGTGCACGACCGGCCGCCGTGCAGCAGCGGCAGGGGTGAGGGGACCGCTGCGGTGGCCCAGGACAAGTGCAGTGCACACCCGGCCACCGCGTGCCCAGTGCCCGGCTATGCAGCCTTCGGGCCAGGCTCGGCGCTGGGTCTCTTCCCTGCCTACCAGCACTTAGCACCCCCAGCTCTGGTCTCCTGGAACTGGTGAGGCTGCCGAGGGGTGTCTTCAGTCACCCTGGACTTGGGACACTGGTGTTTGGCCTCAGAAAAGCTACAGCTGAGGCCCGAACGTGAGCAGATTGGCCTCGAGGGAGCTGGTGTCGCTGGCGTGCCTTAACCAGCAGTCGCAAAAACACACACCGCCGGGGACTTTCGCCAAGACTCCCCGGTTGTTCCCCCACCGCGAAGCCCAAAGCTAGATTTTATTTCTTGAGCTTTATTTGTATATTTTTTAAATAGCGATTTGTATGAAGCGACTTATTTTTTAAAAGAAATAGAGTGTTTTCCCCTTGATTTGTGGTGCTAGACTGTAATGTGGAGGAGGGTTGGGTCCCTGGCGCTCCGGCCACTAAAGGAATGGGGTGGGGGGTGGGGGGCGCTGGTTTTCCTTGCCGGAACTGGGAGAACCCGTCTGCCCCTGGCCCTTTACATTGAGGCCCAGCACTGGTTAGGTTGTAGGTCAGATTGAAGCCCCAACAAGGCTTTGGGAAGGAAAGGGACTCGGGGGAGGCGACTGTGGCAAATCTGGGGCGTCGATCTGGCATCTCTGAGGCTCCAGTTCAGACTTCAAAAGTGAATCCAGCCGGGCAGGGTCCTGCGCTCCTGGCTCTTTCTAGAGTGCGGGATAAGGGAGCTTGGGGACCGTGGAGCACCAAGGAACCTGGAACCTACAGTGAAGCTTGTGAGTGCTTCAATGTACTGCCATTTCCTGCCTCCTTAACCAAGCGGTATCTGGCCTTGGTGGGACAGGATAGGGAGGGTAGTGAAGAAATAAAAGGCGCAGTGACTGGCGTTGGGCAATACTTCCAAGCGACCCTGGGGAAAGAGGAAGAAGGTCTGGGAGGTTTAGCAATCCCATGCTGCGATGTGATGCGTTCAGCTAGGATGAATCCTGTCAACAGTGCACACACCGAGGGATCACCTTCTCTTTCCACACCTCGGGTTTGCACCTGTCTCCGAAGCGATTTCTGGGTACCCACTTCAGAAAGACAGTAGGAGAGTGGTGTCCACCAGAAACAGGGACAAGCCCCCCTCCCCATGAGGTCTGATGAACAGGCATTGGGCTTGTTAGGGGTCCTAGCTTTCTTGTCCAAAGAGGAAGAAGAGGAAGAGACAATGTGATCACCTGGGATGGGGGTGGGTGGACAGTATGTTTGGGTCTCAGCTGCCTGCCACCTTGTCTTCCATATGGATGTGGCTATCCTAGAAGAATCTCCATCCTTAAACCTTCTTTTGTGTTGGATACTGAAAAAGGCATTGTCAGGCCTAAAAAGGACCTAGACAAAATCCACACTGTTTCAATTCAAAACTCCGTTTAATCAGCCTCTGGAGACAATGTAGTGCGTGTTAGGCCAGACAATAGCATCTTTTTAAACCTTGTGGCCTTCAGGAAGACAAAGGGCTTGAATTTTATGGGCTTACAACTTCAATTAGAACAGTGCCAGTGTGCATGGGAGATTATCAAATTTGTATCATAAAACCCCTTTCTAGCAAATGATTGGTAGGGATGGGGCCCAACATTGTAAGACATGTATTGGGGCCTAGCAGGAGCTTCCCGGTCAGAGTTGGCCGAGCAGATGTGACAGAAAAAGAGGATGGGATTTCTGAGGAAGGCCTGAGTTGGGATTTGTCGCTGTGGTCAGCTGGCTGTGTGCTTAACTCTTCCAAGTTCTTATTTAATTCATGAATTGGTGTGGGGGGGGGGCGGGGAATCACGGCTTCTTTCTGCCAGGGACTAAAACAAGCTCCTCAATGTCCTTAGGAGAAAGTCAAGAAGATAGTATACCTGTTTGGTAGATCTAAGAATGTGTGAAGTGGAGAGGGCCTATAAATGTGAGGTCTCCAGAACAAAGTGATTGTGTCTATGGGGAGACTGGCCTTACCAGGAAGGTTTTGGGGAAAGCGGCCCTGTGGCGAGCAAATTAGTGTCACAGCAAGATGGTTAGAGTCACAGCAGGATCCACCCAGTGAGCCAATTGTACTCTGGGCAGGAAGGGGACAGTGGTAACTGCAGCCACAATATGCAAACTGTTAGTTTTAGCTCTGCATTCTTTTACCATTGGCTAGAAAGGCCTTCCTTTAGAAATAAAAGACCCCAAGGGAAAGGTAAAAACACACTCGCATCTCGCTGATTCATTTTAGAGACTTGGGTTAGCATCTATGTTATTCTGTCCGTATCCATCATAAGATAGAAAACTGCCTATTTCCTTTGTGACCCAAAAGGTCAATCCTCCTTGGTTCTGACAAAAGCTGAATCCAAGTCCTCTCTGCCAACAGCTGTGAAAACAGTCAGGGCCTCCTTCTCCAAAGCTAGGCGTTTCAATCCTGCCACCCACCATCAGCGTTACATGGCAGATTCACACTCAGAAAACTTGTAGTGAGATGTGCTGTGTTTCCAGGTCCATTGACAGCCGATCTCACAGACAGACAGACAGACAGACAGACAGACA